TTTTTACTGTTATAACTTTATATTTTTATGCCTTGTTTGGCACCGTAGCAACTAGACATAAAGGCCTTGCCATTGTGAACTAATGGAATGAATGTTAATGATCGATTTGCATGAAATCTGAACAAAACTTTAATGACTTCTGTCTTTAATGACGTCTGTCATTTTTTTCCATGCCAATCTCCAACTAACAAATCCTTAACGAACAAGCAAATGAATAGTGCTTCAAGCTACAGAAGGTCGCTCCGTCATTTCTCTTCAAACGGTGACTGCAGAATCACGGATTTTTCCTCATGTTCTTTGTCTGGTCGTTAGACAGTGTCCTGCCTTTCTTCTTTGACAAATCATTCATAGCCGCTGTAACATGAGAAATCAGGCTTCAGATTCGGCCGAGGTCCAATTATTTTCAGAAGATGAACGGAAACGAGGTACGAGTTTGTGCTGCAACCAATGGCGGTATCTACAACAGTTTAGAAAACTTTCTCTACTTCAAGGAAGTCGTTTCGTTGCTTAAGTTGCGTTCATTAATTTTGGCAGACATATCCTAAATCGCAGAGGAAATAGCCGTATGATGACAGGAAATTCGTTGGGGAATTAAATATCGGTTTAAAATCTCTGTTTGAATCCAGGACGCGTATTACAGAGTTTGGCGGATTAGCTTTGGAGAGATCTTCATTCCAACAGTAGATTTGGGGATATTAATGATGGTCATAAGACTGATTTTACAGCTATCTCAATCATACTATCTGCTGTGAGGGGCATACCGTCTCTGCCTAAATGGAGCAAAGATACAGCTATCCAGAGTTATGCTACTGGGCCTGTAACATTGTTCTGATTTTCAAGCTACTTTAAACATATGAATAGTGTTATTAGACTGAAAGATGGTCCTTAACTGAAACACGTTTTGTTTATTCAGCATCGTTTCAAATTTTGCTATTCTTTGTTTGTTGGTCCTCTTTCGGATTTTCTTTCCTTCGAAAACCACTTCTGTTTAAAATACGAGGACCTTTATAGTTTAGTGATCAAATATTACGAGAGGTGATGAAATTGAGCTCCTGGAACTTTTTGAGTTACGCGGTGAGAATAAAATCTTAGCTCAGATATCTTATCCATAAACCATTAGGTATTGTCCCTCAACCGGCATTCGATGAATTCGAGAGAATTCGCCAATGTGACAAGCTAAAGGAAACCAATACATCTTTGTCATCAGCTCAGAAAATGCGGGAACAAACAACCTGACAAACGGATTGCTGCTATTAAAAATGGGTGCCTTCAGCATCAAAGGAAGAACTACTTAAGGTGTTGAATGGCTGAGGTTGAAGAATGATCAAAGTTGAAACGAAAGCTTCGAATGTCTAAGAGTGGTATTTGCATCTGACTGGCAGTTGGTACGCTACTTATAAAACGGTTAGCCTATGAATCGATGTTGATTATGATAATAAAACTCTCCATAATCGAACCTCGCCACCCTCATGGAGAGAGCAGTGACATTGACATATGTCCTCCTACATTCAGAGTAATAACTCTATGAACTGAACTTGCAATTTTAATATGCCGAATATGTGATTTTGACCATCCAGATGGAACGACATATTTCATTTCTTTTCCTATTCGATGCCGTCTTCTTCCGGGTCTTCCATCAGGTTCTTTAAGTGTTGCCATCCAAATGATTTCATCGTACTTTTATCTGAAACTTTGATGAACGGTTTTCTCCAGTTCTTCTATCAGGCTCTGTTCTTCGGTTTCACCATACATAATGGGCTCTGTCGGCTCTCTGCTGACCATTAATTGAATAATTTCACCGACAGTCTTCTGTTCTCAGCGTCAGGAACGCGGAGGTTGAAGTTTGGAGAGTTATGAAGAGGAGGGGACGACTAGAGTATGCATATGGCTTACATAAGGAAGTAAAGCACGGTGAGAAATATGTTTCTGAACCTCAAAGATTGTCCTCAAAGATGGCTTGTCATGAACCCTTAAACAGGCAAGTAACGAAGCAGTGGCTTCTGGGCAGAGAAAACTCCTTTCGCTTTTCCTGACAGGATATTACTGTAATATCCAGATTAGAATCCAGTAGTAAAGATTTGCAGCAACGTAATGCATTAGTTCCAGAAAAACATAAAGAAGTTCTCTTGATACCACTCATCCTCAGAACGGAGGGCGACTCATGGGCAAGGTTGG